TTTTTTTGGTACTGGGTATCAAACTCAGGACCTTGCGCTTAATGAGGTAAGCTATAGTACCACTGAGCTACATCCCCAGCCCCCAGAATACTGATTGGCAATGTTGTCTTTCCTTAGCAAAGGTCTTTTTCTCAAAATCCTGCTATTTGGAACTCTACTGTGGAAAACATAAAAGTTTAGTTTTCCTGGGATCGTCCTGATTCAGCTTCCCCCACCCTCAGAGCCACTGCACGGAGCTCTAGGTTCTGCAGGATCAGATTTGAAAGCCTCACAGTCAAGGGCAGAGCTAGGTCTCAGAGATTTCAGGAAGACGGATTTGGGCTCAGTGTAAAAACTCACAAAGAAACTGGACTGCCGGGCAGTGGAATGCCTGGGCTGGCAGCCGGCACTGCCTGTCCTTGTGCGCACAGAATCCACTGCACCTGTTACAGACACTGAGAAGCAGTCTTCTAGTTCTGTCAGACAACATTATTTAAATTACCACCACGATGCATTCTTGTACACCTTCCAACTTCATAATTTGGGCAGGGGGTTTCCAGGTCTTGAACTTGGGACCTTGTGCTTGCGAGGCAGGCACTGGAACCGCTGAGCTAAATCCCCAGCCCCCAGCTGCATAATGTTGCTAAATATTTTGTCTTCAAGCTTACTTTTAAAACTTTCATTCACTTTAAAGACGCTATTAAATGAAAGCCAGCCAGGGATATAGCTCAGTTGTGCCCCGGCCTGCCTCTCAAACACAAGGTTCCGAGTTTGATCCTCAGTACAAAAAAATTAATTGAAGCCAGTGTCACATTGTAAATGCAAGATAATTGTAAAGCTAAACATACACTTAGAAGCAATTTATGTAGTTCTAACTAGAATGTCACTGCTTATGTTTGAAAGGAGCTGTCTCCTCCCCAGGGTGTCTCTGTGAGAATGTAGCAGCGTGGGCTCAGAGGGACCGAAGGCTTGAGGGTCGACAAGCATGGAGGCTTCTCATTGTATTCACCTTTTGTATCCTTCCAATCTAGGCTGTGTTAATGCATCACCTATTTTTAAAATAGATTAAATTTAAAACAAGCTGAAAAATAAACTCTTTTTTTGCTTGTCATCAGCTGTAGTTAAGCCCAAGGCCAGTTCTGCATTTGTGAAAGGTACTAAAGATAGACTGGCAGCAGGCAGAAATCTTCTGTGGATTAATCAGGGGCATGGAGGGAACTAAAGAGACACTGACTTCCTCACAGTGTGATTCAGTGCTGTGTGATGCCACATCCAGATACTACCTAAAAATCACTTTGAGCCTCGACTAAAATTATCTTGAGTCCCACCATTGGTACACTTCCTACACTGAAAGATGTCGGTATAAGAAAATACAGAGGTGCTTTTTCCCAATTGTGAGCTGCCACCTTTTGGTGAATCATGAAGTAAGTACCAGAGGTCAAGAACAAATTTTAGTGAAGTAGAGTGATACTATGGAAAAGAAAATGTCAGTTCACTGGCTAAAATAAAAGTAAGTGTTGGGCCAGGGATTTAGCTCAGTGGTTCCATCACCTGCCTTGGAAGTGGAAGGTCCTGAGTTCGATCCCCGGTACCAAAAACAAAACAAAAGTAAGTATAGTTCAGAAAGTCCTTGTCTACACCTATGTCTTTAAGAGTTTTGCCTATTTTATCTTCCACAGATTGTTTCTGTTTTAATATTTAATCTTTGATCTATTTTGATTTTAGTTTAGTACACGGTGAAAGATACAGCTGTAGGTTCAGTGTTCTGCATGTGGAGAGCCAGATTTCGCAGCACCATTTGTTAAAGAGGCTGTCTTTCCTCCAGTGAAGGATTTTTGGCCCCCGTGTCAGAGATCAGGTAGCTGGTTTTGCCTGAAGTTGTTTCTACATCCCTGTGTTCTGTTTCACTAATAGACAAGGTTTTTGTTTTTTGCAGGGGGTTGGGAATACCTTTTCGGGGGGTACTGGGGATCGAACTCGGGTCCCTGCGTGGCAGCACCGCTGAACTACATCCGAGGCCCCATACCATGGTTTTTTCAGTCACTGTAGCTTTGTATTGTAACTTTGAAGCCCAGGGCTGTGACGCCTCCTGCCTTGCTTTTGTTCCATAGGGTTGCTTTTGCTATTCGAGGTTTCTTCTGGTTCCATACGAATTTTAGGGTTGTTTTCTCTGGTTCTGGAGGAATGCTAGTGGTATTTTTATTGGGATTTCATTAAAATTGTGCATTGGGCCATTTGATTGGTATCAATTTTGCCTATCCAGAAATAGGGGATATCTTTTCTGATGGAATAAAAGATACCTTTTTTGATGTCCTCTTCAGTCTCCTTTTTCAGAGTACTGTAGTTTTCACTGTAGAGGTCTTTTGCTTGTTGGTTAGATTAATTCCTCCATATTTCATTTTTCATAGGGGCTGGGGATTTAGCTTAGTGGTTCCGCCACCTACCTTTCAAGCACAAGGTTCGATCCCCAGTACCCAAAAAAAAAAAAAAAAAAAAAAAAAA